TGTCTTATGTGTTTATTTGATTATTTTTGTTAGACATTATCAGATACAATAACTTTTAAAATAACATATTAAAGATAGAATAGTAGCTTATAAGAGATAAAGCATTGTATAATTTGGGGACAAATTTCCAGCACTGGCTATCCTCAATATTGAAAGTTTTCAAGGCACCAGAAGGGTTTAATGTTGCACAGCTTTGTTTCCGAATTCAAAGATATGGGAATCTACTAATGATCCTTTGTAGCTTATGTAACAAAGGAAATCATTTACAAATGAACACAGTGTCAATTCCTATTCAAGTATACAAAAGACCTGTATAACTCCAGGTTTCTGAGAAACTCTTTCAGCTGAATAGCCTAAGACCACTGGGCAAAAGTCCCTGAGAAATTAATCCAATCAGTAGAATAGGTTAGGTGCACAGTACAGGGTAGTAAATGACCATGGCAATCTAGTGTTTGATAAACCCAAAGATCCAAGCTTTTGGGACAAGAACTCACTATTCGACAAAAACTGCTGAATAAACTGGAAAACAGTTTGGCAGAAACCAGATATAGACCAAAATCTCACACCGTAAAGCAAGTTAAGATCAAAATGGGTACATGATTTAGTCATAAAGCGTGATGCCATAAACAGATTAGGGCAGCATGGAATACCTGTCACATTTATGGATAAGGGAAGAATTTATGACCAAACAAGAGATAGAGAGTATTACAAGATGTAAAATGATGATTTTGAGTATATTAAATTTTAAAATTTTTAACAAAACTAATTTATCTAACAAAACCAATGCAGACAAGATTCTAAGGAAAGCAGAAGTCGGGATGGGGGGATTTTTTACAGCAAGTGTCTCTGATAAAGACCTCATTTCTCAAATATAGAGAATTGAGTCAAACTTATAAGAATACAAGTCATTCCCCCAATTGATATTAAGGATAGCAAAGGAATTTTGAATTGATATCAAAGAATATGAACAGGTACTTTTCAGTTGAAGTCAAAGCTATCAAGAGTCATATAAAAATGCTCTAAGTCATTGTTCTTTATCTTTTGTTTTTGAAGAGGGCCATGCATGATGATGTCATGACTTATGGGAGAATTGAATTTAAGTGAGGCAGAATTGCACAAAGTTGTCAGCCTGAGTCTCTCTTCTACAGTCATTAAAATCCGGTGGCAAGATAAAAGTTAAAATGACTGTCAACAGCCGGGATGTAGTGGATGACCTGGCTGTCTTCAATGTCTGACCAAGCTCTAAGCACTCCACAACACCTGCTTTAGCTGCCTTCATGGCCATTGGAATGAATTGTTCTCATCTGCACATTCTGCTGGGGAAAGTCTTCACATGCTTGGGGTAGACATCCCTCTAAGTCACTGATGGGTTTGTGGCTGGTTGGTTACCCTTAACCTGGTTTAGCCCTTCTGCTGAGATAGTTTACTGGGGTGTGGCAGCTTCTTAAAACCATCGATGAGAGTTGACAACAAAGTAGATGAGCATCCCTGAAAAGGGCTCAGCAAGCCCTCAGACCAGAGGTGCTAGTCCTCCTTGAACACTCCATAAACCCCTCTAAATCACTGCTGATTAGAGAAATACAAATTATAAACAATTCTGAGGTACTCATACCTATCAGATTGGCTAATATGACAGAAAAGGAAAATGATAAATTTTGGAGAGGATGTGAGAAAATTGGGATACTAATACACTGTTGGTGGAGTTGTGAACTGATCCAACTATTCTGGCGATCAATTTGGAAATATACCCAAAGGGCTATAAATGTGTGCAATCCTTTTTTGCATTTTCTTTTACACTTTGATCAAGCAATGCCACTACTAGGCCTGTATCTCAAAGAGATAAAAAAGAAAAAAAGAAAAGGAACTATTTGCACAAAGATATTTATAGCAGCTCTTTTTGTAGTGACAAAGAATTGGAAACTGTAGGGATGCCCATCAATTGAAGAATGGCTGAACAAGTTGAAGTATATAATTGTAATGGGATAGTATTGTGTTGTAAGAAATGACAATCAGGGGGCAGCTAGGTGGTGCAGTGGATAGAGCACTGGCCCTGAAGTCAGGAGTACCTGAGTTCAAATACAACCTCAGACCAAACACTTGACACTTACTAGCTGTGTGACCCTGGGCAAGTCACTTAACCCCAACTGCCTAAAAACAAACAAACAAAAAAAGAAATGACAATCAGGATGACTTCAGAAAAACCTAGAAAGAGTACATGAACTGATGCCAAGTGAGATGAGCAGAACCAGAACATGTACAATATAGCAAACTATAGCGAACTACTACAGTATCTACAGTACACAGTAACAGCAATATTGTACAATGATCAACTGTGAATGACTTAGCTATTCTCAGCAATACAATGATCTAAGACAATTCTGAGGGACTTATATCGAACAATGCTATCTGCCTCCAGAGAAAGAGTTGAATGCAGATTGAAGTATACTATATTTCACTTTTTTCAGTTTTTTTCTGGGCTGTGTTTTCTTTCACAACATGACTAATAGAGAAATATGTTTTGCATGATTGCACATGTATAATTTATATCAAATTGCTTGCCATCTCAAGAAGGGAGTTGGAGAGGGAGGGAGAGAATTTGGAACTCAGTTTTTTTTAATGAATGTTAAAGTGTTATTAAACTACTTATACCCTGTGACCCAGCAATACTACTACTAGGTCTACTTCCAAAGATGATTAGGGAAAAAGAAAAAGAACCTAAATGTTCTAAAATGTTCATAGCAGCTCTGTTTGTGGTGGCAAAGAACTGGAAATTGCAGGGTTTCCATAAATTGGGGAATGGCTGAACAAGTTGTTTGTATGATTATGATGGAATACTAGTGTGCTATAAGAAATGATGAGCTCAGTGATCTTAGAAAAACATGGAAAGACTTGCACAAAGTAATGAAGAGCAAAATGAGCTGAGCCAAAAGAACATTGTATACAATAACAGCAATACTGTTTTAAGAACAACTTTAAGTGAATAAGTTATTTTGACTATTAACAAAATACCCAAATTAACTATAAAGGACACATGAAGAAAGATGTTATCTGCATCCAGAGAAAGAACTAATAAATAGAAGTATGTATAGAATAATTTTACATATGTATATTGCCTATTTGTGTCTAATGGTGGCCATTTCTTAGGGTGGGGAGTCGGGGAAGGAATAAAAAAAGGAAAAAAATTTACATAACTTTATTGTATGTTTAAAAGGAATAGCAAGTTGTACATAGTAGATTTTACAGTTTCATGTGCAATCATCTTTTTAAAAATTATACTTGTTATGAAAATGCTTGTTTTATTCCATAAATTAAAAATAAAATAATTTTAAAATAAGTGTTTAAATTGTTTTTATATGTAAATGGGGGGAAATAAAATATTACTTTTAAAAAGTAATCCAAAATACACTTCAAGTAAATGGCTACATACATAAAACATATACACATAAAAACTTGCAAATAATTATGGGAAACTTTGTAAAGTCAGTGCAGTACTCCAGACTAAGAATAAACATTGAGATGATATACCAGTCTTGATTGGTAAAGAACATGTTATTTGTTGAGTCATTTTTCAGTCATATATGACTCTTTGTGACCCCTTTTGGGGTTTTCCTGGCAAAGATACTGGAGTGGTTTGCCATTTCCTTCTCCAGCTCATTTTACAGATGAGGAAACTGAGGCAAATAGGGTGAAATGACTTGCCCAGGGTCACACAGCTAATAAATATCTGAGGCAAGATTTTAACTCAGGAAGATGAGTCTTCCTGACTTCAGGTCTGACATTCTATCCAATGCACCACCTAGCTGCCCAATTTAAAAAAAAAAAACTTTTTCCTTGCCTTTTTAAATCTATAACTTTGTAGGGTTTTTTACATGAGTGATTTTCAAATATACTGCTATACACACCAATCAAAATCTTCCTTGTAATGAAACAAAACAAAAAATAATCAAAACCAATTGAAAAAAGCAACCCATGTATATGTAACCAGTAGGTGGTGGTGTTGGGCAAGGTGGGCTACACAGATAAAGAACTAGTCCCTCTCTGTTATGGCTGGGACCTTTGGAATGTACACATGTTCACTCTTTCCCAGCTCCTCCCTTAACTGGCTGCAGGAGCATGAATTTCTCTTAAAAGCTACCTCCACTCTGCCCCTCACCAATGAAAGATCAATTCAAGAGAAAAAGGTCAATGAGGAAGGTGAACTTGCCTGAGACTACTGGGGGGGGGGCGGGGGACAGAGGAGAATATTTGATTGCTTATGCCACCTGAGTTTATTTACTTATGGCCTAAGTCATGTTATAATCTATTCAACTGTTAATGAGCTTATGAGTTATTAATAAATAATCAAGACCCATAAATGATATCATTCATATGGCTCAAGTCTCCACCAGGTTGTGGGAAGAATCCATTTCCTATCATCCCAGCCAATCCAAACAAAGCATCTGTTCTTTGCACCCACCACTTATCAATATCACAAGTCATTCACTGGTTCTCTTCATTGTAGCCTCCCTGTTTACAATTAAGAACAGATATAAACCATATAGAAGTTATGAGTAGTCATAATTTCATGTGCATAGTAATACAGATTTTAAGTGCTATGCAAATGAGAAATTATGAACAACTTTAAAAGCATAAAAATCTTGGAGTAGATATCTGCCAACTTAAGGTAGAGCAGGGAAGCAGAACAAGAGTTAAAGTACTTCACTAGCTTTCCTCATATCTCCATTTCAGTCCTTTCCAACCACATCCCTCTTATCTTCTTATGGTGTTTGAATAGATGGAGATGACAAACTGGGAGCAAGTTCAGTTTGCCTCAACAGTTTCATTTCACATAACCAAACTCCTGGAGCATCTCTCTCTCTCTCTCTCTCTCTCTCTCTCTCTCTCTCTCTCTCTCTCTCTCTCTCTCTCCCCTCTTCCTTCCTCTCTTTCTCTAGTAATCTACCACTGTGCCAGCGCTGCTATATTTTCTCTCTTTCTGGTATTAAAAAAATAATTTTTACCCAAATTTTCCCACATTTAGACTCTACTTCCCAAGCATTCACAATCCATCCCCTCCAGGTGAGAGGAACTTAAATCATCTATTGGAAATATAACCTCCAGAAGTCATACAGCCTGATCTCATCTCCTTTCCCTGCCAACAAGGAAATTGGTCTGACTACCTGGTTACGTGTGACAACATACACAACATTCTGTAACCATGGTCCCCTACTCCTCTACCAAGAGGAAGGATGTTTATTTGTTGCATCCTCTGTTCTCTGGAACCAATACGCTTCATTACAATTAATCTGAATTCAACTGCCTTTTACTGTTGGTTTTTTATATCATTATAATAACTGTGTGTACTATTTTTTTGGTTCTGCTTCCTTTGCAGGCATTAGTTCATACTAGTCTTCCTATTTTTCACTGAGTTCTTCACGTTTGTTGTTTATATACAATAATATTCCATTACGATCATCTACCATTTTAGCCATTCTCCAGTTGAGTAGCATCCATCTGGTGTCTAGTTTTTTGCTCCCATGGATTCTAGTCCAATATTTCCCTTGACAACAGAATGATGTAAGCTGTCGCTAAACTCTGCTACCTGGGTACTACATTATCTAGTGATGCACAGAGAAACAGAAAACTAAATTATAAAGGTCACTATGTTCTTTGGAAGACAGGCAAAATTTCATGCCAATGTGGTATCCAGTTGCAAGACAAATTGATTCTGCAGAGTACTGGTCACCTGGAAAAAGGAAATGTGGACCCCATACTATAAACTAATACTTGTTTATTTGTGATATTGGCTTATAAAGGGCAGAGACCTTATTTTTTTATGGTTTATAATCTATACCATATCTGGAGCCCATACAGGCAGCTTTATGGCTCTCTAAGTTTCCCTATTATATGTACCTTTTTCTGTCCTCAAAACTTCCTTGTTTCTCTTACCTCCTTTTTTCTTCATTTGTTTGCCTTGGTTTTTTCCCTTCCTCTTTCTCTGCTTTTACCTTTATAAGCAGCTACTCACCTATCCTGGGCAGCTAGGTGGTACAATGGATAGAGTGCAGGGCCTAAAATCAAGAAGACTTATCTTCTTGAGTTCAAATCTAGCCTCAGATACTTACTAGCTGTGTGACCCTGGGCAAGTCACTTAATCCTGTTTGCCTTAGTTTCCCCTTCTGTACCATGAGATGAAAAAGGAAAAGGCAGACCATTCCAGTACCTTTCCCAAGAAAACCCTTTAGGGAGTCATGAGTCAGACACAACTGAAAAATTCACTGAACAGCAACTCACCTACCCTGGAGCTTAACACAGCTATTGGCTTATTCACAAAGCCTAGCACATATTGACTAGATTGCTGGGTTAACATCTTAAAGGCGGTAATACAGTGAAAAGAACATTGGCTCTAGAGTCAGAATCCCTGGGTTCAGATCCTATTTCTGACACTTGCTCTATGTGTGGCCTCCTGGATCTCAGTTTTCTTTTCTGAACAATAAAGATGTTGGACTAGATGGGCTCTGATCCTTTCCAGCTCTAGATCTATGGTCTTATGTTAGGGAATTAACTGAAGCAATAGAAGGTAAGAATGAAAGGATAAAGCAACTGGGGCCCAAGCAAAGGCAGCAACAAGCAACCAAAAATATGGAGAGGGGCTTCCCTAATGGAGGCTGGAATTGCATTGCAGAAGTCTAGCCCAGACCCTTTCCAAAACCTGAATATCTTCTATAACATCCGCAAGAAGCAGTCATCCAGCCTCCATCCAAAGAATCCCCATGACTGGGAACTCACTTCTGCTAAAAAGCAGCCCATTCTATTTTTGAATGGCTCGAATGATTCAGGAAGTTTTGCCTTATGTGAAGAAAAGTCTTCCTCCCTAAAGCTTTCACCTAGTCGTCTTAGTTGTAATACGTGGGACAAAGCACAAAAAATCTAACCCCCCCCACAACATAACAACTTTTCAAATATATGAAGACAGATATGTGTCTTATCCTCCTCCCTCTCTCTCTTATACACACACACACACACACACACATGCTGACCACACACAATTTTTTCAAATAACCTTTATAAGACAGGAATGCAGTTAAATTGGTCAATTATCCTTCAAAAATGCGACTCCTGGAACCAAATGGAGTAGTCCAGATACAAATATCACTTCTCTCAATCCCCTTGTCAATTCCCCTTCCAAAATGTGTGGTACCTAGAACTAAATGGAATAGTCTAGACATGGATTTACCCATAGAACACCAGGAATATCACTTCCCTTAATCTGGACATTATGAATCCTAAAAGTGAATTCCTCTGCTGAAGTCCTATTCCAATGCCTTGGCTTAAAGGTGATGTTGGGCTTTCAAAGTCTATGCTAGCTGAGTATAGACTCCCATAGCTCTTATCAAATTGGAAAGGCTTTGAGTTTAAGAATAGGTTTAGCTAACTAGGCTCATATATTTAAAAATAGAAAAGATCTTTCAGTCATCTAGCCTACCCCCTTCATTTTACAGTTGAGGAAACCGAGGTGCACAGAGGTTGAACTGATTTGTCCAAAGTCACACAGGAATTAGGTGGCAGTAAATTCAGGCCCTCTGGCTCCAAATACAGCATTTTTTCTGCTGTATCACACTACCTCTTATATCTGGTCATGCACTAGGCTGTATCTTTTGGCAGAAAGGCCCAACGAATGAAATTGTCTAGTAAGAGGTTATGATCTGCATTAGCCAAAGGATGAAATCTGATGGAATCACAGGTATTTTGAGGTACTGAACTAAGACCACATTAATTTTCTTGATTAACACATTGCAAACTCATATTGAGCTTGTGGTCCACTAGCACCCCTAGTGGTTGTCATATGACTGCTTTCTAGTTGTGTCTGCCTCTAAGCTATATTTGCATAGCAAACTGTTTTTAACTCAAGCAAAGGACTTCACTTTTATTCACGTTCATCTTCTGAGATTTATGAAATTTCATCTTGTTCCATACAAGTATTATTACTCTGATGCATCATAGTATCATGGAGGTGACCCTGGGCTCCCAAGGGCTAATGCCAGTAGAGTAAAACTCTGTCAGGTTCCATTAAAAAGCTTTAACTACAGTTCTGAGAACAGACTGTTTTTTGTCCATGGAACAGCCTCGCTAAATACAGAGTGGTTTGTCACCAAGACATTAGCCGTTAGGTGATGAATTCTTTGGCCATAAGGTCCCATGAAACAGGCAGACATAAAATGTCCCTCAGTGCTGTACAGACTCTTTCTGCTTTTGTGGTGGCAGTGATGGGGTGGCAGAAAAGGGGGTAGAGAGTACTAAGGATTACACAGATTTTAGACTATCTGCAAACATTAATATGTTGACCCTGAATTTGAAACCATTGTCCAATGACCAAGTTGGTACATTACTAAAGGAAATAAACTACATTTATAATGACATTCTAGGTATATGGAAGACATAAAGATAGATGGAAGAGTGGCTCACAGGGTCTCCTCAGAGAGGCAAATAAGAGAGTTGGTTTTATTATGTGCTCCAAGGTCATAAGAAGCATAATGGGCTTTTTGGTCATTTCTTATTGTACTGCTTAAGCAAACAGATAATCATGAAGATAATTGCAACTTATATGCCAATATTTGCTGTAAACAAGGAAAGAGTGGTGAAAATGTATGAAGAATTTTACAAAATCCTATAATCCATTATATGCTCCTATGCAAAGGTATACTGGTACAAACGTTGGCAAAGGGGATGATGCAAAAAATGTTGAAAATTATGGTTTTGGATTAAGAAATGAAAGAGACCAAAGATTTATGGAAGCCTTTTGTCAGTATATGATGAATGAACTTTCTTCAAAAAGGGGACGAGAAGGGAACTGGACATGGTAAGAATCAAACAGCACTAACAAATGAAATTTAATATATCTAAAGAAACAACTGGTTACCATTATGGGAGTTATTTCTGTGTCTATGTACAGTCAAGTCACCTACTATTCAGAACAAAGGTCAAAATCCATTCCAAATTAGAAGGATAAAGACAAGAAGGCACTATATATAATTATAAAAGGTCCATATCTATTCAGACAAGCTAGTGACTCTGAAAAGTGAGTTGTAGATAAAAATAAAGACTGACTCTGATGATTGCCATTTCTTTTTTGTTTGTTTGGTTTTTAGGCAGTTGGGGTTAAGTGACTTGCCCAGGGTCACACAGCTAGTAAATGTCAAGTGTTTGGTCTGAGGCCAGATTGGAACTCAGGTCCTCCTGACTTCAGGGCCAGTGCTCTACCCACTGCACCACCTAGCTGCCCCATGATTGCCATTTCTTAAAGAAATTTAAACAATGTAAAACAGTTACTATAACTATGAGGTCAAGAGAGCCCAGAAACCATCTCAACTAGCAAAGACTTGATCTCTTTCCCAAGTGGAGAGAGAAAGCAACCAAAGGCAGCAAAAGTGTAGAGTTCAGGCTCATTTTACTATGGAAGAGAATGACAGAAAATTAGAAACACAACCGTCTCATAAAACAATAATAACCTTGGTCAGTGACTGTCTACTTATCCACATTAATAAAGTACAGAGTAGGAAGACATGCTCCCCAAAATTTTCCCCCGTTCTCACAGAGAATTTCCTACGCAAAGTCCAGATAGAAGGGGAATTTCCTGTATATGGTTACTTTCTCCAGACACTGCTTTTACAAATAGCATTGTGCTGAAGGACTGTGTCAAACCCTGGAACTCAGAAGATTCCCAGTGAGGCCCTGACACTTACAACTTATGTGACCTTGGGTAAATTGCTTAACCTCAGTTTCTTCATCTGGAAAAAGGGGGGGGTTGGAATAGATGGCCTCGAAAATCCCTTACAGCCCTAGATATATGATCTAATGATCATCACTTAATCTCATCTAGAAGACCTGAGTTCAGATATGGCTTCAAATATTTGCTAGCTGTGTGGTGCTGGACAAGTCACTTAACTTCTATCTGTCTCAGTTTCCTAAATTGTAAAATGGGGATCATGATAACACCTACCTCCTAGGGTTGTTGTGAGGATAAAGTAAGATATTTTTCCAGCACTTAGCACAGTGCCTGGAACAAAGTAGACACTTAATAAGTGCTCATT